AAAAACTTAACAGACTTTTATTTCTCAGCTGCTGTTGTGGATAGAAAGATGAAATAAAATCCAATTACGAGCTTTAACCTTTGACTTTTTCTTCGCCCTAATGTTCACTAACATTTTAAAAAGCCAATAAATCGAAAATAAATTTCCGGAAGTGGCACTGAAATAAACTTGGTTATATACAGTCACCCTCATCCTACTGAACTAAAAATGTTGTTTCCAGCCAAATTTTCAATAAAAAACAAATTGATTCATCCCGCTCTGCCCACTCACCTCTCCTCTCATTGCAGATAACTTCATTTACTGCCTCCGTGTGTTTAACCATCTATGTGATTGTCTGCCCTGCTCTGATTGGTTTCACCTTTCCTTCGTTATCGTCCCCTTTCTAGTGTATTCAGTGTGTCTGATCCCCTCATTCAGTGCCAGTCTGTCTTTGCGCCCAGTGTTTCAGCCTTGTTTTTCCTTGTGTCTGGTGTTTCCTGCTCATTTGGAACTCTGCCCGTTTGTTTGACCTCGCCTTTGTCTTCTCCCTGCCTGATTTACTACCTGTGTGGCGAATCCTTTTAGGCAAATAAAGATAGTTTTTTGAATCAAGCTTCTGTTTCTGAGTGGTGCTTTTGAGTACATTTGCTTGTGGTTACTCCAGTCAAACTGGTAATGGTAGTAGTATACAACACAAATGTCAAAACATCATGTCTTTGATTTGAGTTTATAGTTTGTGCTCAGCTAACATGAGAGGTGTAAAAACTTGCGCCATAAATCCAAAAATAATTCCTTATTTTAAAGAAGTGTGTTGGATTTAGTGGCATTTGTTGATGTAGTTACAGATAGCAACCCTCACTTCACCCTCGCCTTCCAAGCACGAAGGAGAAACTATGGTGCCTGCGAAAGCGCTCAAAAAACAAGAATGCCCCAATCTGGAGCCAGTTTTGTTCATTCTGGGCTACTGTAGAAACGTGGCAGACTCACGAGAAGCCAACCCACTACATCTGTAGATAAAAACCGCTCATTCTAAGGTAACAAAAACACAACAATTCTTATTTTCAGGTGAATCTACATTAATAAAAACATATCTATGAATAGTATATTCCATTTCTGCCAATAGATCCTTCTAAATGTTACACACTGGACCTAATAATAAGATGGTCTGCCTGGATGTTATTTTATATCCAAAGCATGAAAACCTACTGAAAATCTGAACCATGTAAATGGAGTGTAAAAATCAACTGCATTTAAATAAGTCTATAGCTTTGACAGTGACTCATGGTCTTGCGCTGAGGCGGCATGTGACAATTCAGGGAACGACTTCATAGAGGGCAGGAAGCTGTATGGGGCTGATTACAGGAGTAGAGGGAAGAGTCAAGGTCTCAAAGACAGAACCGTGAAACAAAGGTCTGAGGTGAAAGGAAGTCACACTAGTGAAATGCAAGGCTATGAACATCATTATAAACTGGCTCAGCAGAGAATTCCTCCAGGAGCAACACCAAACCTTTATGATAAATGTGTCATTAAAGATCCCTTTCAGACATGTATTAAGACATACACAAAATAGTCTGCTTGGAACAATAATGAGTGTCTAATGGGTTTTTCCCCTCCCAAAAAAAGTATAATATCCACATTAACATCTACTCCTTCTACCGCATTAAAAATCCCAGAATCTATGAATATGCAAGTTTCCTCCTTCTTTCCAGTTCCTCC